TGAAAAGTTGATTTCTTTTAGTGGTTTTTTAGTACCGATTGAGTTTGTTATAGTTTAAATTGTTATGTTGAATGGTTCCTTATTATTTTTAATTCTTATATGCAATTTAAAAAAAAAAAATTACTTGTAGGAGACGGACTGCATTAATCCACCCTCGTGTATAATTGCAGTATTGATTTTTTTTTTTTACATATTATTATGAATAAACTTTAAATTGTCATAAAAATGTTCAATGTATATGGCATACCAGTAAAACGGTTTATTATAAATCGGATATAAAGTACAATATAAGGTATGTTGGTAAAGGTATAGAAGATGTATACCTAAAATCTACATTGTTATAAAAATTGTATTAGAGTTTAACTTTGATTATGCAAATACAAACTTACTTATTATGTATATATATATAAATGAAAAATAACAATTGTGAAAAGATTGTAATCATTACAAAAAGATCTCGTTAAAAATATGCAATATTTTTTATTTTTCCTCATATATTTTTGTAAAACAAATACAAAATTTAAGAAGAAAAATAATAAAAATTAAAGATTTAACTGAGATTAAAAATGAAATTTTTTTTCTTTTTTTATTCATTTTGGACGGAAATATGTAACCAACGCATAAGGTTTAAAAAATATTCGCAATAATATAGGTAGTTACTATTAATATTTTCTTTTTGATTACTTTCTTATTGTTTTTCCCAGTAAAGTACAAGTAATCAAGGTGCATACACGCGTAAATATCGTATGTTATGTATATGATCTAGAAATATTTTTGATTTTGTAATAATAATAATAAGAAGAAAACGAGAAAAAATATAGTTGGCCGGGTCGTTCTCTGATACCCATACGAATTTGTTATCCTATGTGCGAATAAATACGCCATAGCTGGCTATAGGACAGACTATGACTTTAAGTTGCCGTATTACCATATTAATTTATGCAACATTTCAGTATTGTGTTTTTCGAAATAATGTGTGTACAAAACTACTATTGAAGTTGTATGGCTGCTACCAGAAAGAACCAAGCAATTTCAACCACTTTTATAAAACATATTGGTCCTACTAATATATTTACTTGTGTAAAATTTCAATATCACAGCTTTTATAGTTTGAGTATAGTCAAATAAATTTTGAAATTGTATGGAAGCTACCCGAACCAGTGTCCCGATCATATCAAATTTAAATAGAATTCTTGCATTTACTATAATAAATCATTTCTGAAAATTTGGTGAACTTAGCTCAATTAGTTTTTGATTTATCGTTGGGATGAGCAAACAAAGTCCACTCAAAATTTGAAGCTGATCACTTAAAAACATGCATTTGTGTCTATATCTCAGACCATTATTTCTTAGCGTTACAAACGGTAAGGCAAATTTAGTATACCCTTCGAACATACGTTCGTACAGGTATAAAAAAGACTTAAAAATTTAATATACAAAATTCATATGTATTATAAACGCAAAAAAAAATACATACACATATCTGATTAAAATTTTATGAAGAATTCTAAAATTATAATAGAACTTTATTCTGTTGCCTTGAATTTAGCCGAAATATTTGAAAAGAATAAAATATAATGTGCGTAATGCATGTTGCCTTACATATAATTATACTCTTATGTATGTATATGTGAAATATTTTATCATTTTTTAACATCATGAATTTATTTAAAATTTTAAAGTGAAACGAGAGCACATTACGCAGTGAGTTTATTTAATTAAATTGAAAAAAAAAGAGCTTGAATACTTTTAAATGTTTGAGAAAATCTCAGCTGTATACAAGAAAATTTTAGTAAAAATTTGTGTTCTAACCGAATTAAAGATGCCTTTGTATTCGCCTGTGATTTAGTTCTATTTAGCTGTTTATAAAAATTTCTCTAACGCGTTTAATAGGTAAATTACGGTTTACATGAAGGTGAAGGTAACCCGTCATATAAATCGAAAACGAGTCTTGGCCCTTTATTGATTTTCAATGTCTTACTATGTGTCCTACAACTCCTGTCCTCTATTAGTGGAATAAATGCTTGACTCGTTTTTTTCTGAAGACGGCTCTTGATATATGTCGATTATTCCGCGACAATTTCTGTTTTCAGTTAAGCGAAATAGTTGTCTACCAAACATGTGCCGTTTCACTTTTGTTGTTGAACCTACTCTAATTACTTCTCTTTCGATACTGTTAATTTATAATTACAATTTCGAGTCTTGCTAAAAGATCGTCTGCGCAGTTTGCCCATTATTTGAACACACAACTTCTGTTCCCTGCCGAATTCTGTAACTGATCTACCCAATTCTGATTTTGGTTATTATTTATTATATTAACTAGTTCTTCGTCGCATATTTCACTGATATCAATTTTTAAAACCTTTCGTTCCCTTACTTTCGCAGCAAAAGGGCTCATTTTTATCTTCTCAAAAATCGTTTTCTCATTTATCAATCACTCCACCCATTTCTTGGTGGAGCGTGTTCTTTCACTCGATGGCTTAATTAGTACTGCAGCTCCTCTTGCTCTCGGTTGTTTGTTTATTCGATTGTTCGTTGTTTTTCGCTATGGTCCTACCTTTCCGTTTCTTTACTTTACTAAAATTATTCTTCTAAGCACTACAAATAGAATAAAGTGGAATAAAATTTTATAAATTCAAAATATTGCGTGGTCAACTTATTAATTAAATTATTCAATGGTTACAAATTTTTTTTTTTTCTTCAAATCAATATAAAATTTAAACCTGTTACTCAATAAAAATAAAACTAAATTTTAAATAATATTCTGAAATTCATAGTAATTGCGTAAAATAAGGAGTGTTTCTATAAGTATTACCTATTTTTGTGTAGTATATAGAGTAATAATATTATTCAATTTGTAAAATGAACTCATATATGCTCTGTCAATTTAATAAAATTATGTGCTGTTACTTTCGTCATGTTAAACAGTAAAATAAATTAATAATCAGAATCGTATAATATTTCATAAATTTTTTTTCAATAGCACAACTATGCGCACTATAGCGCATATTATTACTTTCTAATTAGAATAATTGAATATTATTATAAAGTACCCATATCTTATAAACAGCCAAGTTAAATTAATTTTATAATATTAAAATATTCAAATAAGGTCTGACAATATTATAAAACAAATAAAGTATTTAGTTTTTCTTTTTTGCATTTTATTTTATTCATATTAAATTTATGATGTATGTAAATTCAATTTTATAATGCAGACATTTTAATAATTCCGGATATAATAAAATTATATTGTATGTGTAAGAAAATAACACCAATAAATATTTGTCATTCGTCTAGTAATCATTATAATTCATTATAAGAAAATATAAAAATACTGTTATAATGAATTCTATATTAGTATAATAATATAAAATAAATGTTATAATGCAGGTGATAATTTTTTCTAGATAACTCTGATTCAATTAAATTTGTGTTTAATTCTATAAACTTGTGTTATAACACATAAGATATCATAAAAAAGTGATAAAATTTTAATCTTTTATATACTTGTATCAAAACTCTTAAATCGCAGGGTAAATTACAATATTATTATACATTATACTTACATTTAATATTAATGTTAATTTGTGGGTGTTTAATTTATTAATATCATAATAAAATTTTTTATTATAAAACAAAATGCCAATTAGAAATTTGTTTAAGTTTCCAGGATCTTTTTTTGAATTTTATCAATTTACATAAAATTAACAACGTGTATAAAACAATTAATTCCATATTTCTTAAAATCAAAATCAAGTATAACATATAAAATGCGTTGATGCTTTTTGTTTCTATATTAATGCTGATATGCAAATTTGTTTTGAAATTTTAATAAATTTATTTAACTTTTAATTTATTATAATTTTTATTTAATTAAACAGATTGTATAATAAATTTAATTTTTATTAAAATTAATTCAATTTAAAAGCATTTCTAATGGAATGAACAGTTTTCGTGTATTGATCAGCTCAATTTGTTAAGAATATTACACTACATGCGCTAAATTTGATTACGAACTACAGGTATTCCTATAGATTAGAATTCGTCAAGAGCTTTTGCACTGAATTTGCTCCCTGTCAGGCCAATTACGACATTTTAAGATGGCTTTATTCACCGATTTTTTCGAAAATGGAAATGGTTTCGGTGCTTGGGTTTTCCCCGAGACATTTCCGGTTGTCCGATTCATGTAGTCTTCCTAACGAGTGTGGACACAAATATATTGAGAAATGATCGGGGTGGTAAAATGCATAGAGACTTTCAGTGCAGAACAGGTTGTGATTCACATCAACACTGTTAAGATATATATTTATAGGCATTATCTATTGTTTCAGCAAAGGAATGTCGCATTCACCAGGGAAATCTGCAGCAAGAAATCCTGCCGATAGGCAAAACCAATAAGAAGAAGCCCCTTCTGCGTACGAGAGAGCAAGGAAGGTGTTGGCAAAATATAATCTTAGGAAGTTGCAGGTTGCTGACAGTGTCTCGGGTTAGTACACGAGACACTGACCGCTGAGGGAACATGAGACTAGACTGTGATTGCTTTTAAATGCATTGTGTCGCAACTGTCAGAAGACATTTTTGCTGTATCTCTGTGAGTGTCCTGCTTTAGGCGGAACTAGACTGATAACCTGTTATCAAATGTTCGAAGGCGATCTGGTGGTCACGGGTGTTAGCAAGCCAGCGTATTTGCACTAATTGGGGTGTTGCTAACCTGCTACATCAGTCAGATCAACCAGCAAAGCATATGACCCTTCAGACTCAAAGTCTTCATAATTTTTTTTAGATGATTTCGTTACATATTTATTTAGTTGTGGACATTTCAGATTGTACTTGCACATACATTATATTTGATGAGCTTTATGCTGATATACTATCTATTACATATACGAAATTTCGATATTTATTGTGTATTAACTGGAACGGACATCCAGTAATACTATAATTATACTTTCTATTATTGAATATAGACATATCTATATAATATGGAATATACCCACCTTATGAGGTTCGATGCCATAACAACAGCAACCATTACCAGGTAATTCCGTTAATTTACGATATGAAATCTGAAATACAATTCTGAAAATTATTTAATATTTTGAAAGATTGCATATCAAAAGGCGCATTTCGATAAAAATTAAATCTGATATAAGTTATTCTATTAAAAATTACAAATATTATATTAAGGCAATTTATTATAATTAAATATTTTGAAAATGAATAAATCATAGGTACTCCCGCATTATAAAGAGGACATTAAACTTTAATTTTATACAAATTCTAAGTTATAAATTTTGCAACAAGTATTTTATAAAATAAAGTTAATTTCGAAGAAGATTTTCTATTTTTATTAATTCTTATTCTTTATTCTTTTTATTTGAACAAAATGAGAAGAAAAACAAAAAGCAATTTTACATAATGCTTTTGTGATTTTATTCAGCTTCCTTATTAAAATTGAAATTCTATTTGCGAATACAAAAAGAAGAAGAAGAAGAAAAATTACAAATTTATGCGATATGACAATTTTTTGTTTTTTAAATTTTCCTTATGTTTTTTATTACTTTTCACTCTTCTACTGTATATATATTTACGTTATGTGTAGTATGTAGTATCTTTAATACACATACATATATTTTGTTTATTATCATATAATAATTTTCTTGAACAATATCTTATATGAATTGCGAACAACTTATCTGAATAAAATTTTCGTTAATTGGTTAAAGCAATTTGAATTTTCCAAAGGGATTTTCCTCATTTTATTTTGTCTTTACAAAAAATTATGCAGAACAACAAGTTAGTATTATAAAAATGTATATATAAGATCCGTATTGGTAAATAATCGTTATGTAAGTATATACTTGTATTTTATTTATTACGTCTCTTTAGTTTTGGTTTCTTTCTGAAAAAATAATAATAATAACAAAAACAGAACAAAAATTTATAATATTTATTCTACTGATATTTTTAAATTAAAACAAGAGTTAAAGGAGGACTTTTAACTTTTTGTATGGTTCTTTTTTATTTACTACATTTTTTGTTTTAAATTTATACGAAATTTTAATTTTTAAAATCCCAGAAAAAAAAAAAATAAATAAATAAACAAATTTTATATATTACCTTAAGCATAAGATCGTGATTGCGTGAATACATTTATAACAAGCTTGGATAATTCCTTTTTTAGGGTCCACTAAAAAACATAGTCAAACAACGACAACCAAATGAATAAAATAAGACAAAAAAAAACTAAAATTAAACTATATGGAAATTAAATCAACTATCATCATCATCATCATCAACATCATCATTATCATAATTATCATTATCAATATTATTATAATGGTATTATGGACAGAGTTGTAATTTACGAATAAATTCACGTTTTCATTGACAATCAAGCATCAAAAATAGCGTTTTAATCTGGAACATGTACTTCCAGAATGATACTAGACTTTGCGTCATCTCTTAGTCAGTCCCAAAGACCTGGAAGCCAGATATGCTCATGAAAATCCTTGCACTGCTTTTTTAATACTACTTGTAAAAAATAGATCTAATTGGAATGCAATTTATTAACTGACCAAACAAATCACGAATGAACAAAAGGAAAGGTATGTACTGATGTTGCAAATTGCATTGAAGACTACATTTATGTCGCCCAAAGGATTCGGTATATCTTCAAATAGGAACGTATTCATGTTACTACATGGAAGTTTCAATTATTTTCTAATTGTTGATTACAACGATTTTGGGGATTATTCATCCAATAAATGATCTCCAAATTAACTAATGGGACATCGATGAGGAAGTGATGGTGGTAGTGAATAATTAAATGAAATTTTTAAATAATTTAGCAGAAATTCAATTACACACAACATAATCTAACTAACTATATTTTATTTTCTCGGATTTCCATGTTACGGTACATTCCAAATTGGTTTCTCTATATCAATTTAATATATTTATTATTGATTCGTTGTATATAGTGCCCAAAATAATAAATAAGTTACATCACTAATAGTTCACGAGTTGATCTAAATATACAGATATAGGCAATATTAGTATCAGAGTACAAGTATAGGATCCAAAATGTAGAATACTTGTAAGTCTGTAAATATGTAAATATTTTTTGTACATTTAATTTTCATGAAGAAAGGTTCATTTTTGTTTTTTTTAGTTTTCTCTTAATGATGATGATCTTTGTCCACATACTATAAACAAACTAAATTTGATAATGCCCAAAATCTATATGGAAATTTTATATTTGCAAGTAAAACTTTTAAAATTTGAAAAATAAAAAAAAAACATAAAAAAGAAACAACGAGGAAAACATAAAAACGATTTAAGAATTTTCAAAACTGTTTTTATATACTTACCATCATTTGAAGTTTTAACTGACTTTTCTACTTACCGTTTCAATAATGTCTTTTTCTTTATCCTCCTTCAACAGTATTTCTATATTAAAAAAAAAAAAAAATTTATAATAGTAAATGTAAAAATCTTTGAAAATATTTAGATGAGGTCAATTTATCAGAGGTCATAATGCAGTTCAGTTTTTGTAAGTGCAAAAGTTATAGATAGCCTAAATGTGCCTAGATTTATTCTTCGTACATTTTTCACATCTATATTTTTAAGTATATTTAAATAAAGTGTGTGCAAACAGTCATTTAATTTGAAAAGAAAAAAAAAACCAAATATTTGTAAATGTTTTACATTTAGTGCAAGTTCAACAAGTACAACTTTTGTAATGATTTGATTTTTTTTTTCTATTCTTCTTATAAATTTAAAACCTACTTTGCATAATTTCAATTCTGTATACTTTAATTTTTCTTAATTTGAATTTGATTTGATTTTTCTTTTCAATAAAATTGAATCAATAGAATATCAAATTTAGCTTAAGGACTAACGTTGCATGTCATTCTAAAATTTTATAATTTATTTTTATTACCTTACTTTTATTGTTATATTAAAATTAGAGAAGTAATTGAGATTTGAAAATATTATTAAATTTTTTTTTCTATTTTATGTGCATAACATTTTAATAATACTGTTACCAAATCTCTTTAATCTTGTTTTGTTCGCCCACATCTTGAATACGTATCGCAGGTTTGGTCCCTAATTTACGACGTTCACAGGAACAGAATTGTGACTATTCAAAAAAATGTTTTGAGATTCGTATTATGTCGCTTTCTTGGGAACTTGGACCTAATCTTGCTCCATTATGAATGTAGATTAAAACTCATCGACATGACCATTTCGGCTAAAAGACTAGAAATCGCGGATGTTACATTTATTTTTCATATTTTAAAATCACAGCTCATATCGGCCGATATTCTGAGCAAAATTATCGTAAACACTAATATGAGATTTCGTTCACCGAATATTTTTGTAGTATGCTGTCATAGAACTAATTATATGGTATGCAAGAGCCGGTAAACAGAATGCTGCGTATTGGGAATAAATAAAAAACAATTTTACATTTTACAATAATGAAGGGCACTTTTAAAAATTGCGCCTTTATAGACTTAACTAATCTTCTTTTTTAAATTTTGGTTTAAGTTAAACATCAAACTAAGCCTAAAATGTGTCAGAATTATTCTTCTATATTATGTGAATGGACCTGAATAGTTAGACTAATCAAATTTTGTAATCATTCTTTTAAAATAATTATGAAAATTTTGAATATGCAGTACTGTTCAGGATTGGAGTCGGACAAGATTTTTTCGCACTATGGACATAAAATTGAAAATATTGAATTTATTTTAGAAAATTCTAAATATAGACAGGCGATTTGAATGCGAAATAATGTTCATATCCAAATTCTATAATGTTAAATGATTTTTCTTAAATAATTCCTTAACAACTAATTAAAGCTTCAAAAATTGTCTACTAATTCAAATTCTCCTTAAAATCACTATAAAATTTTGTATGCTTTTCCTACCTGTACTACCATCAAACTAACACTTATGCTGTATATGTGTGCATAAATTCGAAGTTACATTTTTTTCCCTAGGTATTCCTTTATTATGTTTTATCTCATCTTATTGATTTAATTAAAATCAAAAACAAAAAAAAATCATATCAAACTAAAGAACCTGTCAAATTAATTTTAATTTTTTCTATATTTTTTTTTATTCCTCTATATTTTAACCTGATGCACATTTACGTAATCACTTAAAGCGGCAGCACTCATCATAATTTATTCATCTATATGTATAGTAAGTATATAAAATTTATTTTATTACAAAAGTTAAATTAATTTATTATTCAAAAATAAACACATTTATCTAACATACACTTATACAAACATACACATATCTTATGAATACAACGCAATAACCTATAGAAAAATATCATAAAAAATATGAATAAGATCTAAGATTGTCAAATTATGAATTCATTAAAATCAAAATGGATAAATAAATAAATAAATTTACAAAGATCTTTTAATAAAAGAGATGATGAATTTTTTTTTTTTTTTCATTTCAATTATGAATTTTTAATTTTATAGTTGTCTTGTGTGTTTTGGTTTCTTTTTTATTAGACCTCATTAAATTTTAATATTTTCGAGTAAATTAAAATTAATTTTTTGGCCTTGGATCACATACTATATTATGAATGTAAATTGAATAATTTAATTGTATGTGCTGTGTAAGAAATTAATAATTTAAAAAAATATTCTTTGCTTACAAGTATTCTTGCAGTGTGTGTATGTTATTTAAATACTTGACTAATTGAAATGGGATCTGCCAGGTGTCTAGGTAATAGAGAAAATTTCAGTAACACTAACTGTTTACTAACAGTCTTATACGCATTTTTTTGGAAATATAACATTCTGGGACTTTAGACCATCACATTTTGGTAAGTTATAGAGAGTGGATGAGGAGATCACATACAGTTTTTTAAGTTTGCACCAAAAAAACATGCCTCAAAGAGGTTCAATCTGGTGGAGTTGAAGCGAATTGATTACGACTCAAGAATTGAGTCGTTGAATACTAAATTTTAAATCAAGAGAATCTTTATACGGCCATGATATACCGGCAAGACGTATTTTCAATAAACAATACCTTAAATTGCCGCCTCAGAAAATATTTTGATGAGAGTATTTTCAAAATCATTCGATTCATTGGTGTAGTAACCCACCCTTTACCTAGCTACTTGTTTAACCAAAAATGAAAAAAATTATTATTTTATACCCAAATTAGCCAGTAAACGAACTAATAGCGGTAGAGTACTCTAGAAGAACGAAATGCGAACAGGAAAGTTTATTCTTAAATTCCTTTATTCAGAATATAGTATAGTCACTGTATAATATTTCTTTACAATACGTGGCATTGCCTGCATTTTCAGATAGTTTCAACACTGACGGATCTCACACAATACCTTTAGAAACATACGTCTGAAATCCTGAAATCATTCGTTCTCCGTCTTTGCTGACCTCCTAAATCCTATTACCACTCAATAGAGTGGATAATTTTGCTTCCAGATATCCAATGCAACCGTATCCAGATAAGAAAAATTTTGTGACTATAAGTGCATTTTAGTAAAGAAAAGCTCAATTTACTCGAAGAAATTTTCCCGAAACTTAGATTATACCCTACCAAAGGAGGGTATAAGACGAGATTTATTGGTGTATTAAAAGAAGGTATTATCTTAAGGAATCATTTTTAAAAATGAATGTTTAATGCGCATGTCTTGCAATGTTTTTATAGTAAAATAAATGCGAATTCATAAAACATTTTATTCTATTTCAAATGGAATTGCAAAATAGTTTAACATCAACTTTATTTTTTTTTTTTTGTAAAAAACTCTGACTCATCGCACATCAAAGAATTTTCTATATTTTTTTTCTCATTTTAAAATTCAACTATTTAGACTAAATTCTATATAAATACAGCAATATTAAGAATATTTCAAAATTTTTTCAATTCACAATCGAAAAAAAGAAAAACAAAATTCCAATAGAATTTTTCGTATTCGGATTTTTCATTAAACTTCTTAAGATCAATTAAAATTTTGCTTGAATTTTTTTTCTATACCTTTATTACTGTGTTTTTTATTAATAATATGCTTTTTGTTTATATCCACCTGGAAATAAGAAAAATTAACAATTCAAAATAACGTTAAAAAAAAAAAACAAACAAAATTGCACCATAAACTTGTCGATTTCAAACTTGTAATTATTTTTTACATAGACTTGAAATGAGTCATAAGACCGTCGATCGTCTAACTATTTTTTTTCGAATATATTTTTTTTAAACAACAAGTAAAAGAAATACTTGCATAACATAAAAAATTTAGAAAAAAATAAGTATAACAGGCAAGTAACACCAATAAATGACAATAAAAAAAAAAATACAATTCTATATTTTTTTTTCTTGCTTTAAGTTTTACCTTACCGTGAATATGGTGTAGTGTTTTACAAATAGATCTTTTATACTAATTCCTCACAATATATCGTATATGACTGTAATAATCATTTAAAAGACAATACATATACCTACCTACACAACACAATAATATGTTTTACTATTGTAAATATAAAATTCTATAATAATATGTAGGTAATACGCTCGCTTGTTAAGAGATTAAAAGTGTATATATACCCAGTCAGTCAGTCAGTCAGTCAGGCAACCAGCCAGTAAAAATATCAAATCAAACGCATTTAAAAATTTTGTGCGAGTATCGAATACATTCAATTATTAACTACATAATATTGTTATACACTATATTTTCTTTTTATATTCATTCTACATACATATACAAAATGTATAATATTGCGGCTGTTATAATAAATGCACCTACACGCAAGGTTTGGTTTCAGGTTTTTGAACTTCAATATTATAATTTGTTTTCTGTTTTCTGTTTAATTTTATTATTTCTGAATTTTTGAAAATATATAACAATAAAAAAGCAAACAATATATAAAACAAATAATAAATCTGAATTAAAAAAAAAAAAAAAGAAAAATGGTATTGACAGTAAAAATTGTGTGGTCTTAACAATAATGAAGCTTTCAAAGCACAGGTTTCAGCTTTGATTTCATTTTTTCTTTTCTGAGTTTATTGTGTTTTTTTTTCTAGTTTTGTTTTTGTATCAAATTTTCTATTTGATTTTTAATGGATAATCATAGGATTTAATAATTGTTTTTAATATTATTTATTTTCGAAATATTAATTTTCTAAAATTTTAGGGTAGCCGAAAAAAAAAATTTATGCAAATATAAATTTGAATTAAATTCTTTTTATTCTTCCTATAACAGTTCGAAATTTTATGTTCCAAAATTGTTCAAAATATTTTCATTAAAATTTTATTGTTTGATAAGCAATCATTTGCCTGTAAAACAAGCCTCCGATGGTTATTCTATGGTCCGCGTGGCTCCGAAACTATATTCGGTAAAGATTCTGGTACTTTTTTTTCAACAGACTGCAGTTCGAAAAAGAACATATCCGCAC